TTACTGACAGTCGACATGAAACATTAATCACATCGCATATCCGACAGTCGACATAAACATACATCACATCACATATCTGACAGTCGACATGAAACATTAATCACATCGCATATCCGACAGTCGACATAAACATACATAACATATCCGACAGTCGACATAAACATTCATCATATGACATCACAACATACACGCCACATCACCTATCCGACAGTCAACATGACACATACATCCCATCACATAACATCACATATCCGACAGTCCACACGAAACATACATCACATCACATAATTCATCTGATGTTTGTTGATACTCTACCACTTAATGTGATATCGACCTGTACGCGGCTCGTGGTTTAAGATAGGAATATATTTCTTTTAATAACGACAGTACAAAACTCGAATACACTATGGGGCATACTGAATACAAAGTATGCATATACTATAGCATATCACTGGTCTACGTAAAGAAAGGGAACACAATTTATACACGAAACATTAATCACACAGTATATCCGACAGTCGACATGAAACATTAATCACATCGCATATCCGACAGTCGACATGAAACATTAGTCACATCGCATATCCGACAGTCGACATGAAACATATATCACATCACATCACATCTCCGACAGTCAATATAAACATACTTCAATTATCCGACAGTCAACATGAAACATACATCACATCACGTATCCGACAGTCAACATTAAACATACATCACATCACATCACATCTCCGACAGTCGACATGAAACATACATCACATCACGTATCCGACAGTCAACATTAAACATACATCACATCACATCACATCTCCGACAGTCGACATAAACATACATCACATCGCATATCCGACGATCGACATGAAACATACATCACATCACATATCCGAGTGTCGACATAACATACATCACATCGCATATCCGACGATCGACATGAAACATACATCACATCACATCACATATCCGAGTGTCGACATAACATACATCACATCACATATCCGACAGTCGACATGAAACATACATCACATCACATATCCGACAGTCGACATGTAACATTAATCACATCGCATATCCATCAGTCGACATGAAACATATATCACATATCCGACAGTCGACATAAACATTCATCATATGACATCACAACATACACGCCACATCACCTATCCGACAGTCAACATGACACATACATCCCATCACATAACATCACATATCCGACAGTCCACACGAAACATACATCACATCACATAATTCATCTGATGTTTGTTGATACTCTACCACTTAATGTGATATCGACCTGTACGCGGCTCGTGGTTTAAGATAGGAATATATTTCTTTTAATAACGACAGTACAAAGCTCTAATACACTATGGGGCATACTGAATACAAAGTATGCATATACTATAGCATATCACTGGTCTACGTAAAGAAAGGGAACACAATTTATACAGCGGGAAACGATAGCTGTGTAAATATAACTAACGTGATTGTACTTACAGGGACGATGCCAGGTGTTTACGAAATTCGATGCAATGGAGACTATCAATGTTGCATGCAACTCGCGCTGTAATGCTTCGTCACAAGCATTTATACATGTATCGTGTGTCCTAGTGCATACGTGCATTCAATTTGACTGTTGACTTGAGACGAACCGATTGGGTGTGGTTTGGAAATGGCAATTCATATAAATAAGGAATCCACACTTGCTTGTAAACCTGCATGCACGTGTGTGTATGGCTGCTTGTACTAGTCCAGACTGATGCCGATTTATAGCTAGCTCGCTGAGATACCATGCCGCAGTTTTACATGAATACCCCACTCAGACACAGTATACTGACTCCGAGCCGACCAGTCATTGTTTTAGCCCTTTAATGCCGAGCGCCAGATAGGGTAACAACAAGTACCATCTTTTAACGTCTTTTTGTATGACGCGGCCGGGATAGAACCTAGGACCTTCCGCTCCCCGGGCGGACGCTCTCCCACTAGACCACGGAGGCGGTCCACGAGGTAATGTGTATAAGTACCTCTACTGATGATCATGTTGTCAATCACTTGGTTGTCTGGTCCAGACTCGATTATTTACAGACCGCCGTCACATAGCTGGAATATTGCTGAGTGCGGCGTTAAACAACAAACAAACCAACTTCTACTGCTATAACTGCACCTACCTGAACAACTACTGCACATAGAGAGTCAACTCGGTCTCGTGATTATGGTTGTACGCAATATCATGCACAACACGGTAAAGGAGGCCAGTATTGAATAGGTCTTTTGTCATGTGAGATATACGTTGACGGTGTTTGAATTGGTTGGTGTTGTCACAACACATGTAAACAGTAGGCCTAGTCAAGGTTTCACTGTTATCCGCTGTTATGATTCTTTTGAATGGGTAATGCAATATAGAACATTGCAAACATTTCAAAGAGTGAAAATTCAACAACACGGTAGGGTCCATGTGCTCTGTTACCATGGGCTCGTAATCTCCTGTACACGGTTTGTCGACTGATCCCGTTGTGGAAGTAGTAGTAGTAGTAGTAGTAGTAGTAGTAGTAGTAGTAGTAGTAGCAGTAGTAGAAGTAGTAGTAGAAGTTGTAGAAATAGTAGTAGTAATAGCAGCAGCAGCAGCAGTAGTAGTAGTAGTAGTAGACGTAGCAATAGCAGTAGCAGTAGTAGTAATAGAAGTAGACGTAGTAGTAGACGTAGATGTAGTAGTAGTAGTCGTAGTAGTAGTAGTAGTAGTAGTAGTAGTAGTAGTAGCAGCAGCAGTAGTAGTAGCAGTAGCAATATCTTTCGCACATACCCCCTTCGATCTACAAAACAAGCCCCCTCACGTTGCTGCAAACAGTGTGAACGTTGATAGAGAGTGTATTCTTTAGTCGTCTCAAAAGGTTAGTGCAACCCGCTCCCTTGCAACATTGTTTGAGAAAAGGTATTGACACAACAATGACGTCAGGGTTTTTTCGTGAATGTGTTTACTATGCACACGAGAACAATAGCATTTACTATTACTAATGGTATATGGCATTCGGAAATCTTATTGAAATCTATGCCCATTAGGATCCTTGTATAGATCCTTAGAACAAGAATGTCCAGGTATGAGGATATGAACAGCGGAACCAAGGCTATTTGAGAAAATGGCTTCCAGTCTTACAAGGAACACGAGAACGTGGTGCTTTACCCTCATAGCTTTATCAATTCTACGTTGACGATGTACAACATGTATTTGTATGATTACAGAATACTTATGTCGGTTTTACCCACAAATGGGGCGGTCTGGTAGCCTAGTGGTTAAAGCGTTCACTCGTCACGCCGAAGACCCGGGTTCGATTCCCGACATGGGTACAATGTGTGAGAGTCGTGATATTGCTGGAATATTGCTAAAAGCGCCGTAAAACCATACTCACTAATTCACATATCTACATATTGTTATAATGATTATGGATGCATGTCATCGTATACCAATTCCGTAGATCAATACGGAAGATGTCAATCACTGGATTGTCTGGTCCAGACTTGATTGTTTACAGACCAGCGTCATATAGCTGGAACAATTTTGAGTGCGGCGTTAGACAGCAAACATGCAACAAATAACTGTCATGTGTCCACAAGGGGAAAAAAACTGAAACACCCTTCTAATAATATGCTGCGAAGCACCCAGGACAAATTTACATATTTACCGCTGGGGACCTATTCTAACCCGGAACCCCCATGTGGGCGGGCGGACTTTGAGAACCTCTGCAGCACCACTTCATACACTGTCCGAGTAACACATGTACCACGAATCATTGTCTGCGTTGGACAATATTATCCAGAACTACTGACCCAGTTTAATATGTTACTCAATCCCGTGCCTGTAGATCATATAGATATCGGCCGTCGGCTCTGTCGATTAACCCTTTTTCATTGACGAGTACGCTCTTTGTTGCTTAGTATCCGATCAAACGCAGCCATTCACAAAGTCCATGGCCTCTGACTGAAATGTATTCATGAAACTGCTTCAGTCACCCGTTGCTTCTATAAATGACTTTGTAAGCCTCTTCGCTGTGGTAACGGTTGTTTATCGAAGGTGTATGTTTCAGAATGAAGAGATCCTGCTTTTCTGTCCTTGCCTGTTGGGCAATGCTGAGTATATTCGCTGCGGTCTACACAAACTGGGCAACATTCAAGTAAGTACAGCACTGTCACCTTATGTAAAGAGGTATTCTCGAAAAGTCAACAGTCGTTTGTAGAGTCAGCAGAAACTCGCTGGAACAAAATACGTTCTCTGTCTATTTTCACAAGGCATCAGAACATAACGTCATGACAATCATTGGTGTTGGAACGTCCTAATGGCTTACAAGTTTGCCTATTGTATATGTGGGGCGATGGGGTAGCCAAGTGGTTAAAGCGTTCGCTCGTCACGCCCGAGTCCCGGGTTCGATTCCCCAATGTGGGTATTATGTGTGAAGACCATTTCTGGTTTCTTCCGCCATGATATTGCTGAAATACTGCCAATAGCAGCGTAAAACAATATTCACTCACGTATTGTATTTGTATAATCAATAAGATGTATTCGGCTAGATTTATAAATTGTGGGGAAAATGAAGGATAATACTTGTTAGAGGTGCAATATATGTATGTGTCAATATATGTGACCAAGTCGTCTTAGGCGCCGCAATTCGCTGTGTGGACTGGCATCCCCTAAGAAACCTATGATTGTGGGTTCGAATCCCGGTTCGCCCCGATTATTTCCTGGGTTTGTCAACAGCATACCCGTGATTGTGGGTTTCACCAAAGTAGTAAACGTCTGAAACCTGCATCTCTTCGGGCTTCCTCCTACATTAGTGAGTGAGTGTAGTTTTACGCCGCTTTTAGCAATGGTCCAGCAATATCACGGCGGGGGACTCCTCCTACATTAAGCTGACACGATGTGATATAAGTGGAATACTGTTCAAAGCAGCGCTGAACCTAACTCACTCACTCACTCACTCGCTCATTGACTCATTTCATTGCAGAGAGTGGAACACTTACGGATGGCTAACCAGTAACAGAGACATTAACGCATATGGTTTTCGGTATCTCCCAGAAACCGTTGTACGGTCCCCAACCACACCAAACCACCCATCCTGTGCCGCTAAAAGCCAGATGTACCTCAAACACAACCATACAACCTTCCACTTGGGTGATCTCATCAAGGTGCAAATAAACATGTATGACGTCAACGGTTACCGGAAGTTGACAGGCGGAGACTTTCTGAGAGTGTGGATGGAGGACCGGAAGAGCAATGCTTCCGTTTCCGGTGACGTCACTGACTACAATAATGGAAGTTATGGCGCAGTAATTAAAGCCACGTGGGCAGGACATGCCATCATACGTGCCCTTATAAACACAAGGAAAGAGGAGATAGTTCTGCAATACAAGATCTTCGACCAATATGGAAGTCTATGGAACGTGCATGCTACATTCGTCAAGAATCAACTCTCTGAAACAACGATCTGCTCCACGAAACAGCCGAGTCCTCTGAAGCAACCCGAGTGGTGTAATCTTACTCTCGAGAACAGTGGTCTCCCTTGGTATTGCAGGAGACCAAGCACAGCAAATTTAACTTGTGATACATGGTCATATTCCCATTCAAGTGGTGTTTCATTCAAGCTGAATAACACTGAGCGAGATATCCTCCAATGGTATGTATTCTATTATACTTCACCGATTATTTCCTAAGTAGGTTGTAGGAGAGTGAGTGAGTTGGGTTTTACACCACTTTGAATTGTTTTTCAGTTATATCAAGTCAGTTTAAATTCGAATGAGTGAGTGAGTAGGAGTTGGGTTTGCTTTTGGCAATATTCCAGCAATATCACGGCGGGGACTCAAGAAATGGGCTTCACATATTGTACCTATGTCAGGAATCGAACCCGGGTCTTCGGCGTGACGAGCGCTTTAACCACTGGGCTATCCGACCGCCCCTGAATTCGAATTAAGCCTTCATGCTGACAAAACCAAGGATCATTTTAAGGACGAACATGGGATACGAACTAACGATCATAGGATAAGACCCGCGCATCGAAAGTCTGTACAGAGAAATGCGGCGCTTTAGACTGTAATGCATTATTTGCTCACATACAGCCTGAAATACTTTATATATCACGATAGTAGAGCGTGAATAAAGAGAGTAATTAATTCACGATTTTTTTATATCTAGGTCCAGAAAAGACCCAACACCTGACATCCTCCCGGTGACGATAAAAGTATTACTTATAAACGGTAGATATGAAATAACACATTTACTTCATCGCACAGTGAAAACAATCCGAGAATCCGAGTTAGAATAGTTTCGGATCCCAAACACTCTGTGGCCTGTCATAAGATGCAATTAATTGTGATTGGGTGGACTGTTTCGGCGACTTATATGTAGCCGATTGAGTGTCATTGTTCTCCTACGACTAGAATCGTTGCTCCTGTTGCTACTCTTCCTTGCCCAGACTCGTTTACAGACAGACCGCCATGATAGACTTGTAGCTGGAGTATTGTAGACTCACTATTGCTGCTTCTAGTACACTGCTGAAAATCTAGGATGTGGTGAGGTGAATTTGGGTTAATGTTGCCTTCAAGAATATTGCACTCATGAAGGTGATGTCCATGCATGTGTGAGTGCGTGTGTAGCTGCTTGTACTCCGGACTAATGCCAGGCCAAGTGCTAGTATAGTGCCAGCCCAAGGAGATACCATGTCACAGTCTAACATTGACACCCCCAGTCCTTGTTTTAGAACGCGGCCGGGCATGGAACAATCGACATTCAAATTCTCTATCCAAGAGACCAGAGGCAGTCGAGACACTAGAAACGTACATGGTACTTTATAGAGACCAAAGGTAGACAATATACTTAAACACAGGAAACCTCCCGATGGATAAGAAAGAAACCGGTTTTCAATTCAGTATGAATTGGTACATAATTGGGTTGTGATATTTCATGATGATTATTTCTATTTACAGAGGATAACAAAACAACGTTAACGCCCCCCGGGACACCATGCAGCCGAATGCTAACCAAAGCGACCTGGCACCGGGTGTCTCCGACAGGTTTCTTTCACAATAACACCTGGCATCCATTACAATGCACAGACACGCTACCTAGAACGGCCGCGGCCTACAGAGAGTGCTTGAAGGGAAAGACGATCTGGCTGCACGGTGATTCAACAAGTGCACAGTTCAAGCAAAGTCTTCACTCGTTCCTGCATTTCCCTTCTCATGGACATGGCCACATGCCTGTGACCGACACGGATACCACCTACAACTTCAGCGTCTCCTGGCGTGCTCACGAAATGCCTTTCTACCATGGTAGTACACGGTACCCACGAGTTGCAGAACAGGCACAACATCTTGTTCTTGAGAGCCTTCCAGACACCTCCAGCGACATCGTAGTGTTGTACTTGTATGTTCATTTCACTGTTGTGCATCCGGATGTATTTAGGCAACATGTGAGGAGACTTGTTCCCCCTGCACGAAAACTGTTGGCGCGGGCTCCCAACGTAACTCTGGCGGTACGAGGTCCTCATACCTTTGTCAGATCGTCCAAGGGATTATCATCCTACTGGGGTCTAATCCATACCGACATCTTGCACCAGGAATTTTCATCGCTGCATCATAGGGTTGTATATTTAAATTTTTGGGATTTGACAATGGCGCGCCCGTCCTATGGAAGCCATCCAGACAGGTCAATCATTCAACATATGGTACACAACATGATGTCATTTGTGTGCTTTAGGACCTGATCCCAACTTGTCGTATGTCAACGTCTGACACTGCCCTATTATTTCAAGCATTTGAGAAATAATCGAAAAAATATATTTATCCCCATCAATGAATTCGTTAGTTTCAATTTCAATATCCAGTGTAACGCTCCCTATTGTGTTATGCGTGTTTCAATGTAACCTTTGAGGTACCATCGAGCATGTTCTTTCCATGAAGGTTTCAAAGAGCGTCATACCACTCTTGCTCAAGAGTTGCTTCATCAGGGTAACTACATTCAAGTCCGTAGTGACGCTTTCAAAACCATTTATGGTAGACATATGCATTGGTTGGTTGTTGTTGTTGGTTTGTTGCTTTACGCCGCACTCAGCAATATTCCAGCTATACCACGGCGGTCCGGAATTAATAGAGTCTGGACCAGACAATCCAGTGATTGATATCATGAACATCGATCCACGCATTAGAATCGATGGCATTCATCAACCAAGTCAGCGAGCCTGACCACCCGATCCCGTTAGTCGCCTTTTACGACAAGCATTGTCACCTTTTACGGCAAGCATGGGTTCCTGAAGACCTCCTCTATCCCGGAATCTTCACGGGTCACATATTCATGGGGCGCATCGGTGACCAAATTGATGTCTGATACAATTGGACTTGCACTGTAAAGGAACATGTTGTACAATTCATGATAATGAATTGTATCGGACATCATTTTGGTCATTGACGATAAATGTGGAAATGTCCTCCATATGTCTACAATACACCGTTTGTAAAGTTTTACTAAGGCCTTGAAAGGTGTAACTGGCATGATAAAACTGTGGAGTTGTTTGTCGAAACCACGTGATAATAGAACCTGTTCGCCCTATTCTAACCTGCCCTAACAGCGTCACATATCAACATTCCGCCACAATGAATCCGTTTCTTGGGCTCGGTCTTGTCATATGACTCAAGGTATCCGGATGGTCACAGTCAGGAATCTACAATGGCACCAGTTTCGTGCACATGACACATGACATGACATGACAAGGCGGCAGTCGTGAACCTGTACGAACACATCTATCAACTTTCAACTATGACCACCAGAATCGTTCATGAAATGTATATTGGTGGGGAACATTATGGCATCCTCAGACCATCACCTAATTATTCTGTTGAATTCAATTTGATAATGACATGCATCGCGTAATAAAGAAAATACTAAACTCGCCCCTGTGTAATACCAATTTTATGAAACTCGTGAACAAGTCTGGTGTCTGACCAGCTTTCCCTCGTCAAATACCAGGCCTATTCGCTCGTTTCATACCGGTATTCCACGGGAGCGCGTTTAGTACTCTTTATTTTCCACATGTTTCTGTAATGCTTGACACATCACACGAGCGCCTAAATATAGTAGTTCACCACTACTGCTTACATTAAATAATACTACATTCCTGACAACTAATCACTGTCCAAACATAATGCAATGAGTTTCTACCGAATCTAAACAGAAACAGTGTAATACAGATACAATCATTGTTTAACAATAGATTACACTGCCATACAATAACTGTCGCCAGATTCTGTTTTTTACTGTTATAGTCACGTGAACAAGTTGGTCCAGTTCTAATAATACGGATTCCTTCCATTTCTGTCCGAGATTACCTACAGGGTTGGTGTGTCGAGTGTAACTCGTGTCTGTCCGGAACAAGCTTCGTGACGATCGAAGACTTTCGTTTTGGGTACGGAAAGGTGCGAGTGGTGACGGATGAAGACTCATTGTTCTGTTGTGGCGATTGTTTGAATAAGGATTGTTTGTCAGTAAACACCCACGACCAGGATTGAGGCTTCTCGCGAAAGAAAACACACAGGTGCTACAAGGTGTGAATTGACAACATATATTGTCGTGAGACAATTTGCACCTTTGTACATAAAACCTTGAAATCAATCAAAATACAAATGGAAGAAGGTAACATATGGATAAAACCAATACCTCAAGACTCATAGGCATGATAGACAATAGTTAACGGCTGCTGGCGTAAATGCCCCTGTGTTTAGACTTGTGCTCACATGTTCCCGTGTTTTTTTCAGTTGAACAATTGACTTGCCTTTGCATGTGTTTGTGACGGGTGCCACCGGTGCTACAGGATACGCTCACCTTTTCGCGGGCACCTAGTATCATCACTATTTGATAGTGGGGGGTGGGGGAGGAAAGGGGGTGGGTTGCTGTTGTTTTCAGGAAGTGTTACGATAACTAGGTGGCGCGTCACAGAGGGACCACGGGGCATTGCTTGCTGTTTCAATTGGCGCTGAGTCATGACAAATGTTCGTAACCCCAATGCGCACCAGGACACGATTTTTGTCTGTCCATGAAACCAGGTCACAAACATAGTGAGCCGTGGCGATCGTTGACACCACCATCTGTACAATATCGTAGAGACACGAATCTACACATGAGAAATAGAACGCCCTTGTCAACTGTGTCTATTTGTATAGGACGTTTTCAGCCTTAGAAAGTTTCGAGGTTAACGGAACAAATATAACTATTTCTTTAGAACGGACAGTGTTTCACGCGTTAGGGCTCTATGTGAACCCAGGAATCTCTATAAACAGACCTCCTGTAAACCAAGAAGTAACCATTGCATTGAGGCGTTCCAGTCGCACGGGCCATGATCGCGAACAGTGTCCCTTGGTTAGAATAGGTCCCCAGCAAACTATGCTGGTCGTGAAGAGGCGACTTAATGAATCGGGTGGTCAGGCTCGGTGACTGGTGACCCGGGTAATTGTTGGTCTAACAATCTTCCCTGAAGACCAGGGTAACTGTTGGTCTAACAATCTTCCCTGAAGACCCGGGTAACTGTTGGTCTAACCATCTTCCCTGTAGACCCGTGTAATTGTTGGTCTAACAATCTTCACTGTAGACCCGTGTAATTGTTGGTCTAATTATCTTCCCTGTAGACCCGTGTAATTGTTGGTCTAACAATCTTCAAAGAAGACCCGTGTAATTGTTGGTCTAACAATCTTCACTGTAGACCCGTGTAATTGTTGGCCTAACAATCTTTAATGAAGACCCGTGTAATTGTTGGTCTAACAATCTTCACTGTAGACCCGTGTAATTGTTGGTCTAACAATCTTCAATGAAGACCCGTGTAATTGTTGGTCTAACAATCTTCACTGTAGACCAATGTAATTGTTGGTCTAACAATCTTCCTTTTAGACCCATGTAATTGTTGGTCTAACAATCTTCCTTGTAGACCCGTGTAGTTGTTGGTATAACAATCATCCCTTTGGACCCGTGTAATTGTTGGTCTAACAATCTTCTCTGTAGACCCGTGTAATTGTTGGTCTATTCACGTTAAATCCATATAATCATTAATTTAATAATCTACACTTCAGACTAATGTAATCTTAAGTCTGGTAGATATGATAGATCCATGTAATAGGTAGTCTTATATATAGTACATTAAACCCGTGTCATCGTTATTTATTTACCTCCATTAAGAAACTTGCAATTCCATTGGTTAAACCGTACCACGTGACGAAACAATACATTTCAATGGTGACCCCCAAATCATGTGACTGACACTGACCTCGAATATTGACTCGTCAAATGATCAATATTGACCTGTCACGGAATGAATATTGACTCGTCTGCTAGAAATCAAGATTGCGTCTGGTACGAACATGTCACGGCTTGCAGCAAAGTTATTGTAATGAAACAGAGGACGGTTTTAAGACTTCATAAACATTAAAGTGAATTTTGATATATCAAAAGGAATGATTACTCTTGACGAGGTCAATATGCGAAAACCACGACCCTCGGACCTGAGTAATTATTTGTATAATGAAAACTCCTAAACTTTTAATCTTTAGTCTTATATACACGTGAAACAAATGTAATGGATTGTCAAATATTTGCACACTATAGATCCAAGCAATCGTTAGTCAGATATTCTGCACTTTGGGCCCATGTAATCGTTAGACTTATACACGTGGGACAGATATAAGTGATTATCAAATATTTGCACACTACAGACCCATATAATAGTTAGTTTAAAGTCAATCATGAATACACGTTGATATAACTGACGTCACGTTTTTTCTACTTTAGTTACAGATTTCACAACAATAAATCTATGCGCGTTCCTAATTCTCCGCCACCCTACAGAGCCACGTAAATACAAGCGAGAAAACATTTTCCATAATCATAATAGGTATCTTTATGAAACTGCTTTATTTAACAATTTAAGCGACAGAGCTCATTTCCATAATCCATTGTTCGATCCTGACCATATCATCTGCAGACCCGTGAAGATCCGGGGTAGAATAGGTCTTCAGCAACCCATACTTGCCGTAAAAGGCAACTATGGTTGTCGTGAAAGGCGACTAACGGGATCGGGTGGTAAGGCTCGCTGACTTGGTTGAGCATGTCATCGATCCCAATTGCGTGGATCGATGCTCATGATGTCAATCACTGAATTGTCTGGTCCAGACTCTATTATTTCCAGACCGCCGTCATATAGCTGTAATATCGCTGAGTGTAGCGTTAAACAAACAAACAAACGCGAATGTCCGGATCTTGTTGAATGACAACAAACAAACAAACAAACATATCATCTGCATGTTTATATGAATCACAACAGCTGTTTCGTGTCGACTTCAACATTGAAAGCATAAGTATAACCCAGAAATCTATAGGTAAAAGAATTTAGCGTGAAACCAACAAAGAACAAAGGAAATGGGTATACATGTATCAATTGTGTTATAAAATGAACTAAGTTTATAAACTAATACAAATTACTGCAAAGTGATTACAAAGCCAGTATAGAATACGCTGCAGTACAAACTTCAACGACAGTACATTTGCAATGGCAGCATACCATACAGAAGCAGTAGTAATAACTGGAAAGTGATAATAATATCCATTAAGCTGCAACAGTGGTCAAGCCTCCAAAAAGACCCAGAGTGAAAACGGTTTGATGTAATGTGAGATGCAATGTGAGATTTATATAGGCACACCCTTGCCCCCTTATATAGTCTTGGTGGCTGGTGTGTTGTTTAACGCCGCAC